CTTAATTTGTGGCATTCCACTATCATCTTCCTTACAACAGACCTGAGTACCTCTGTCAGTCAGTGGCTTTGGAAATCCCACCAGATGTCCAAGTGTATTTGTACATCTGGCCCTCTGCCTTCTCAGGATCAGACTCATTATGATTTATTAATCATCTACTAAGAGCATTGATAAACAATGAATATTTATGACTACAGATGTAACCCTATTGTTTGTGTAAATTATAGTGTTTTTCTGGTAATGTTCTGAATGGCTTCATGTTTACATAAATAATTCATACTTGTAAAGCCATATGTTAAACTGTCATTGTAAAAAAAGAAGTGCTGCCAGTTTTCACTTGAACCATATGTAAATATCAAGAAGTTGATTTTAAACAGTGATATAAAGACTAAGCACCTTAATGCCATTTACGCAATAGTGATTGCAATATGCTACAACGCACTAGATGCATTAGGATGAGCATCAAAGGCAAAATAAGCTTTATATACAGCAGAGAAAGGGACTATTTTTATTTCTGAATAAACTACATTGTATTAAATTAACCAAATCTAGCTTTATAAATTTAAATTACAGTGATAGCAGACTCCCAGCCTTTTGTCATTATTTCTAAGTGAATAAAGCAGCTTGAAATATTTCCCTGAAACTACTGCAAGGAGCATTAATTTTTTATCTTTGAAAAGAAGATAGAATTTTCAGTAACATTGTCATATGTGTATGTGATTTTGAGATCTTCTGACCCTACCTGTCTACACACCCTACAGCTGATAGTTATCTCCTGATATAGTCTAGGTACATGCTGTTGCTGCTGAGGGAAAATCAGTAAGAAATCTAGATGACATGTTGCAGCTTACTCTTATTCCAGCAGTACTGGCATGGTTGGGCAAATGGCCACATTCATCATACCTCGGAGAACTTTGATAATAGATTTCATCTATGAACTGTAGCTCATATCTCAGTTCTAATTTAATAATCATAGCGAGTTTTAAGAAAGGCATTCATGGCATGCATGTGATATACATTTACACACATATATATACGTCAAGTGGTATTTATATTCAAATATACACTTATAAATACATTCTTTGAGAAGGTTCAGAATGTAGTGTTTAGACTGACAAGGACTAGAAAGTACTTGGATTAGCAGATCATTTCCTCCATTCTGCCAGTGCCTTTGTTGACAGAGAAGAGGCTGGTGTCTTCTTTTCCACCAGGCTTCCTTGTGCTTCATGACTGGAAGCATGGCCCTCACCTAATACAGTAACCATCACATGGTATATCTGGTCCTGTGGAAGGGATGTGCATGTGTGTATCTTGAGGCAGAGACTTGGCTACTCACACATGCTTTCATAAGCCTTGTTATGTGAAAGGCCAAATGAGTGGCCCATGTCAGGACTGTAGCCTGTGGGAGATTTGTTTCCAATGACATTGTGGATGAAAAAGCACAGCTGTGGGCTTGCCGGATTTTTCCCATTCTGCTGAGTGGTCTAAGCTAGCAGAAAAGCCAAGAGGTGGCCTGATCACAGTCTGTAAGAACCCACAGCGAAAACCAAAAATCTGTCAGTAGATGCTCTTAACTGACGAATTTGCAGTTAAATTCCAATACTGGAAGATGCAGATAGGCAAATTCAGCCTGGAAATAAGCCATACATTTTCAATAGCTAGGATAATTAACAATTGGAATGACCTAATAAAGCTTGTGACTGTACATCACAGAAATGCTCAAGCTGTGATTAGAGGTTTCTCTAAAAAGAATGTTAGCTAAAACAAATTTATTAGTCTTATAGCAAAAATCACCTCAAGGAACTTCTGTGGTTACAAAGGAGACCAAGACTGGGTGGTTAACAATAACCTTGCTTAGCCTTAAATTCCATTAATTTCCATGATTCCAGTACTGAGCCTTGCACACAGTTCTCGTAGCTCTCTATTCTGCATTGCTTCCGCAAATGATTTAGAGTGTGTCCATTAAGCTCCACTGAAAGCTATTGGAGTATCTGTTCTATTCTTCATGTTTCAAAGCCAGTAAAAAGTTTTTAATTAAAGGTTTTTCAGTCCTTCAGCTGGTTCCAGATGAGTCTTGGCAGTTCATTTTCCATGTGCAAGCCTGAAACAGAACATTGCTTACAAAACAGAGTCATCTCTACTGTTAAAATGCCATTACTGCTTTCTAAGTGTGAAGAATAGAAAATGTTCTCTCTTTTAATGGTTCTTAAATCAAAAACTCTTTCAGCTTCTGTGGGAGAGTGAAGGTAGAGCTGCTAGGGATAGATTCAAACTGGGATAGACACAGGCATTGGCAGATGCCCAGGGTGGCAGCATCTTTCCTCCTAGATGTTTGAGGCCCAGTGGTCCCTAATACAAACTGGAACAGTTCCATGAACTTGTCCAACAAGTTTCTTAGCTGTAATTATCACTGTGGGCCACATCCCACAAATCCCAAAAATGCTCATGTGCCTTGATTGTGCTTTCTTTTGTGTCGCCACCCTGGAATCGACTGTCTTCCAAAACTGCCTGTGCTGCAGGTTTTTTCTGGCTTTTAACTTCTTTTCACACCCAAATAGCTCTGAAGTATCCTTTTCTCCTTGACTTTATGTTATTTCATTCACAAAGTAAAATTATAGGGACCCTTTATTTCAGAAGAATATAATTTCATTCCTTGTCTTGAGCCTGCAGTACGTACGCAATATTTTGGGTGTTACTCAAGTAGAGAAGAGCTGTATTTGATACCACAATTATTATTTCTAGATGCTCATTTGGACAGCACAGTTTTTACGCAAATTAAACCTTTTGTTTCTACTAAGAGAAGTGTAGTTATAGAAATGACATTTACTTTTTCGATGCTTCCTGGTCATACTTAGAGATGAACTTCTGGATTTTGTCATCAGAGATATAGTTTTGCAGCTTTTTGCTGTTGCTAGCTGTGCAAGACCTCAGGAAGCCAAGAGAGAGGGTTCCTGGATTCTGTTCTTCCCTGAGCATCTCCTACTAAGTCCTAGTCAATTATTGCAGCTCTGTGCAAGTCTAGTGAAGTCATTGGAGTCGCCCAGGTGCGACCACACTGAAGAGCTTGAATTTCAGAACTGGAGTTGCAAAGGAGGATGCAGAAGAGAAAAAGTATGTTGCTTAACTCCCCAAGTGCAGGTTGAGCTGGCATGGCTGATGGTTAGAAACAGCTGCTTTGAGGAGATGTTCTCTTGTGGGAAAATATAAATAAATAATTTAAATACTTGTGATTGATCAAACTGACTGTGGTTTAATTGGCAGAGAAACATAGAACTGTTTTTACAAAGCCACTTTGTGCTGTCCAAGTGCAGTATATTTCCAGGTTTCCACAGCTCAGAGGCCCACCTGAGGATGCAGAGCTGCATATGTTGGATCTTTGCCATGTAAGGTAACTCAAAAAGAAATAAACCGCCCAGTAAAACCTAGATGGTGTTTAATTTTGTTGGGTTTATTTTCCAAATTTTTTTTTAATTTTATTTTTATTTTGTTATAGTAAATAATTGTATTCCTGCGTGGAATACATTTAAGATCACATTAAATATTAAACTAGGAACACATCACTACATCCAGAACAACAGCTATTTTTTCCTCCGATACAATGGCAAATACATCACTGTATTTAAAGAAACTGAAAGGAAGATTTTAAAATATATCATTTTGTTTATCTTGTTCACCACAAAAATATAATCTCTATCATGAGGTTTTCTGTCTGCCTATAAGTATTTCCCTGCAATACAGTTTCTCTTGGGGAATATTCCACAGTGTAATACATGTCATCAATATTATTCTTCAGATGATCAGTTTCATCTTGTTACGTCAGTAAATGCATACCCCTCTTGGACTGCTCCAGACAGATTCCCTGTATGCTCAGCTGAGTTTTCATCAACCTTCAGGAAAGCTTTCCTACTCCCATCTAAAATCTAGGCAATGTTCTGTGATGCACCTTGTTGATTAGAATGGGGTATGTGCCGTATCCTATGAGAAACCTATGGATGAATTCCACTAACTTAGAAGAAAACCACACTTGCGGCAGTGTGCAAGTGTAATATTTTGATCGCAGACAAGGTGTTCTGGTACCTGACAGTACAGTCTTTTAGCGGCTAGATGGCACTATTGCCAGAGAGTAGAATCAGGTGCGATAGAAAATACCAAGCGAATTTACAGATTTGGTTTTCTTAGCAAAGGCTGTAACAGAAAGCAGCTTTCAGCTGCCTGCTATATTGATTTAGATTTCAGAATTTGGTTTGCGCCATGTATGTTGTCTATGTAACTCAGTAATGTTTTCGTCCAGTTTTTTCTTTCTTCTCATAATGGCGTAACGACTCAGGCGTGTTGTTCAGATGTCCCTTTGGCTGAGTGCTACAGAGAATGGCAAACTCATGGCAAAGTCACCTAAGATTAAAGGAAGCACATGCCTGAAAGAGAAAGCTGACTAGATGGCGTGCTGATCTTCTCTTCCTTCCTTTACCCACTTGTCCTTTCCCATGGTCACCCTCTCCTCTCTCTTCCTAATTTCCTCCTTTGTGTCATTCATTGCAAGAAGAGGCTGAGAAAGTGCTGCTGAAGTGCCTGTCACTCCACTGAGCTCTGGTCAACCTGCATCGCCTTGTTCAGTGTCCAAAAGCAAACGTGAATTTCTTTATGCCGTTGCACCAACACCACAGATGTATTGGGTGCTGGTGCCCAGGCACTGGTAGCGGTGGCTGCAGGGATAGATTTCTGTGAGGAGTGGCTGGGGCAGCTCCAACAGACCCACTGCAGGGCACAGCTGAGCCCCTCAGCAAGATGGTGGCACCTCTGGGAAAGTGCCTGCAAGATGGGGTAAAATGCTGCCTGGCAGTGAGGAGGAAGAGGAAAAAGTGTGAGAAAGAGCCCTGTGAGCAACAAAGTGAGATCAGGAGGAGGGGAGGAGGTGCTCAAGATGCCTGAGCAGAGCTTGCAGCCCCTGGAGAAACCACGGTGGAGCAGATATTTCCCTGCAGCCTACGGAAAGGGCCACCATGGAGCAGATATTCACACTGCAACCTGTGGAGGACTTCACGCCAGAGAGGGTGGGTAATTCCTGAAGAAACTGCAGCCTCTGGAGAGCCCACACTAGAGCAGGTTTATCCCGAAGGACTGCAGACCATGGAAGGACTCACTCTGGAACAGGGGAACAGTGTAAGGAGAAAGGAGTGGCAGAAAGACCTGTTATGGACTGACCCCATAACCCACCATTCCCCATCCTCCTGCACCACTTGTGGAGGGAAGTAGAAGAGTCAGGAGTGAAGGACTGAACTTGGCCTTGGGAAGAAGTTGGGAGGGAGGTGAAGCGGAAAGAGTTTTTAGTTTTGTTTTTATTTCTCACCATCCGAATCTATTTTAAAAAGTGATAAATTAAATTAATTTTCCCCAATTCGAATCTGGTTTACTGTGATAGCAATTGGTAAGATATCTTCCTGTCTTTTCCTCAACTCATAAGCTTTTTCATCTTCATTTCTCCATCCATCCTGTTGAGGAGGGAGAGTGAGAGAGAGGATGGGTGGGCATCTGGCAACTAGTCAAGGTCAACCCACCACAAGAGAAAGAACAATTTTTGTCCTGTTCAGCAAGGTAATTTTTTTTTTTAAGAAGTCCGTATTTCATTTAGTTATTCTCAGTGAAAAATCAAGATTTTAAGAATCAGTTATGCCTCTAAATCTTTATCCCAAGAACTTATTTTATGGAACTTGTCAGACACAAAGTCCTTTTGAAAAGTAGTAACTTGTGTAAAATAAGTTTTCAGGTGCTAAACCTAGGGCTTCCAAAATGACTGGTGATGCTAAATACCTCTGTGCTCTTAACACACATGCTGAGATTAAAGAGGGCAAATGCTGTAATAACTATAGTCCTTAAACTCTCCTGAAGTTGGGACCCTTAAGTGGATTAATCCTACTTTCTCTTAATGCCTAAAAATGCTTAGGCATGTCTTAGCTTCTGATACTCACCTCTAAAAGTACATGTCAATCATTGCTCAATTTTCCTAGTTTTTCTTCTTTCCTGTAACTATCCAGTTCTATCTTACTAAAAAAAAAAGAAAACCAAAACACAACCAAAAACCCCAAAACACCAAAGAGGGTAAGGCAAACAGGGCAAATAGCTATTTCTTTTTCATAATGGACAACTGTTTCTGAAGGTATTCTCTGATTTCTTAGTTGTAAGTTACTGAGGTATTATCAGGAGTCTTCCAGCACATGATATTTTTCTGTACTTAGAAAACCAGTAGATTGTGTCAGAATCCGGACTGTAGTTTCAAAATATAGTAAATGTCTTACATCACCAGAAATATTGAACAAAAAAAAACTCACAACATGAAAAAGCTTACTCATTTTGCCACTCAGGATTTGGCAAGCATGATTCATGGTACGTGAAAGTTTGATCTTGATATTATGATTTTTTATTTTCCAAAATTCTTACTACTAGAGAGATTTTTGAAGTAATTTTATTGGTCATTTTTGCCTCTTCTTGGCTCTTTTGTATAAATCACAATTTTCTCTTTCCACATCAGTAAGGTTATAAAAGATTTTCTTCTTTCCTTTAACTGCCTTGGCTAACATTAACTCATTCTGCTGTTTTGCTTCTTTGCTATTTTTCCCCTAGTGAAATTGCTAGATTTGGTATCCTTAAGGCCTTCTTGGAGTATAATCACTTAGACCTTCTTTATGTCCCCTATAGTTGCTGAGTGGTAAAAGCCAAAATGACATGAAATGCATCTGTGCTTTCACAGAAATGCTTTTTAAAGTAGCCTTCCAGCTAAATGATGAACTCCATTTATGTACTGTATGGAGTATTTATGCACTGCATGCATTGGGCCAAATTATTTGTGCTTCTGCTTGGGTTTGCTATGACCCAGTCCTGCCAACATTCTCCCAAAGGAGACATGCTTAACTTGTCTGTTTGAACAGCTGAGCTGAGAAGAGGAGATGCTGAGTAATACTACTTCCAACAGTGTTTGAGGCACCACCACAATGGCGATGGATATGTAAACAGGATCATGTCTTCGGTCTAATTCCACATCCCAGTAAACTCCATGAGAAAATTCACAGCTGCATTTCTACACATGAAGTATATACTGTATTCCTCGTGTTACTTTGGGAAAGCCTTTTACAAAGGCAAAGTACTCCCAGATTTTAATTTTTATCTGAGGACAATTGTACCTTAGAAATTGTTTATTTCAAACCTTTGACCTGAATTCTAATCTGATTCAAATTCATTTAAATTCAGAATAACTCTGGGTTAACTCCAATGTCAGTGAAGTACTAGTCTCTGGGATAGCAACAGTGGTTCACAGAAGTGCAAACAGCAGCTGGCTCTGTGTCTTTAGTTAATTTCATTATATAGTTTTAGTTTAACTTAAACAAAGTAATGACCTTATTATTATTTTAAGAAACCTATTTTGAGAGGCAGGAATCATATTTCTTATATAAATCCACTTTCAAATATCTTCTTTGGATGTACATGTTGCGAGAGATAGAGTTAGGTTTGTGTGGGGAGAGTAAAAACATACTAGATTTCACTGATCACAGTTGCTTTAAATTATGCAATGAAGAGAGAGATGCTGTTTGCACGTGAAAAAAATAAGGTTGACAGCAGAGATCACAGAGGGGGCTTGCCTTTGTAGTTTCTCTCTTCTATAGACCAAGTACCGGGAGAAGGATTGGGGTGTCTTTGCAAGAACTGTTTTAGGGGCCACGCTTGGCCAAGGTAACCATTAGACAAAAAATATGGGTTCAATGGAAGTAAGCATTCTATCATGATTTCTGTCTCGAGCACCATTCTTCTGAAGTTTTACAAGAAGCAGTTGAAAATAAATGGTTGAATTTTGCTTTGCCTGAATGTAAATTAAGGTGAATCTCAGGACTTTCTCTTGATACAATGGAATTTATTAAGAGCTGAATGTATTTTTTGAAATGTTAAAATCATAGTTACATATGACATTTTTGCAGACATTTTCTATATGTCTTATTTACACTCTTACCCTCTTTTGTCTCAAATTAAAGTCTACTTTAAAATATCAGTGTTCTAAATCTTACAATCACCTCCAAAATTACAGCAAGAGTAGGGGAACTGACAATATTTTTCAATAACGGATCTTACTATCTCTAATATTTGTTACTGCACAGTTCTGTAATTTCTGTTATTTTATCTTTGTGTTTTGCTGCAGGGTGAAAAGGAGAAGCTGACATGGAGTGACCGTATGCCTGGATATGCAGCAAACTTTGGACTAATTTTATTTATGGTAATGTAATCTGCATTTTTGCACATTTAAGTGTGAGAAACTTTGCAATGAGCATCCTGAGTGGGATCCTGAATTAGTGTTCCCAAAGATGCTAAAAATTTGAAGAAAGCTAGGGTTATAACCTACAGATTGTGAAAAATACGTGTCCTACTAGGAAGACTCATAGAGCTCAAGTGCCTACCTCCAGCTTTATTCTCTTTTTCTAAAGGCTGCTTGTGAGAGGGCTGTTGGCTGGATGACTTGCTGTAATGACAGCAGCTCGTTACTAGATGCTGTCCCTCCCACAGGTTTTCTGCTCTGTCCTCCATTATCTGATGGAGGGAAGTCCACTGTGTGTTTGCTTGCGTGCGCAGTATTGCATACGCTCTGTCGGAATGACGTTCAGAAGCGCTGAGCTTACTGAATAGATGACATACAGGTTAAACAAACGCGTTGCTGAGAAGTGTGTCCAACACACATTCAAGGATAGTCTATACTGTAGCCAAGGAAGACCATGGTATACAATCCTCATTTGAGAAGAAGAATAAGGTGTGCAGGTCAGTTAACTGTAAAGTGTGGACACCAGTGTCCCAGCAAAATTTCCAAACTGCTATAAACACACCATCAAGCTGCTAGCCTTTGTAAACAGCAATAGGAAAGCCTGGCTAACAAACCTGAAATTACATTGTCAAGGATCTTGTTATCCCTCTGGTTACTGAAATTACTGAATGAAAGCACGTATTCACATCTAGAGCCAGTTTAAACTGGCAATGAAATATGCTGGTTTACACCACAGGAGCATCTGGCATGGGACATTTACTTAGGGTCTAAATTATTTTAAAATACCTAAGTATATTTTGAATATACTGGAATCTGCATATACTGCAACAAATGCCCTGTGAAGATTTTATTTCTTTTTCTGACAGTCAAAAATATTCTGTATTCACATGGAAGTCAAATTAATGTCTGTGTTTTCATAAATACAAGTGTTTATATTTATAAAGTTATATGTATTGTATATTAAGCCTACTTTCTGTACATATTAAGTATATCATTCATATATATATGTATGTACTTAGAACATTTTGAGTGAGTTTATGATCCTGAGGCCATACAAAGCATTCACTTTTTAGACAGAACCTCTAACTGGCATCAGTTGGGACTTTGCTTAAAACAGTGTACTGAGTATGACTAAGCATGTAGCCCCGATTTAGCTTTTACAAGTCATTCTTTTGTAGACAAGGTGCTTACATGTGCTCTTGACTTTAACCACATGTTTAAATCTCGCCTAAGCATGAGCTTAAAGTGCTTTCCTGAGCCACAGCCTATGTGTTACACTCCCTGCTTGCTGTAACGTCTCAGAGAGATTGATAAAGGTAAAATGTAGAACTCCAGTTCTTCAACTTCTCTTAGTGACTAGTGGAACTGTGCTGGCTTTCACCATTTGAAGAAGTGGCCACAATGATTTTTTTAGAATATTTTGATCATTAGTAAGATGTAAGCACCTACAGAAGACAACTTACAAACCATGCATGAAATTCTAGTCAGCTCTTGGTGAGGGAGAGCCAGCTCCACTTTCTCATGCAGAGATTACAATCTACATTTTACTGTAAGTAATGTTTCTTATTTTTCTGCTAGATTAGTTAAACAGGAATTGGAAACACCGCACTAAAGTTTACTGTCAGCCTGTGTAATAGCATCAGACTGAGGAAACTAAATTGGTCTCATCTACCTCCGTTATTATTCACACAGAATAGTTTTTTTAACTGTAAGCACTACATACATAATAAGTGATGAAATCTTGAATTTATGTGTGTGTGTGTGCATGTATACAGCACACAGTCACAGAAGACTCAGACACAGATACACACACAGATGTGCTGCAATTTCTAGTGCTGCAGAAGTGATTGTTGAATTCTTCATACTACCTTTTCCAGGCCCAAAGGGTCTGGCGGCACAAACCCATAGGTATTTTCCATGACGATATCTACACTTGCTATAGAATGATGCTGCTGTGTTCTGTCCCTCCTTCTCCCGGCTTTACATGCCATACTTCCCCTGATGATTCTTGAAGCTGTTAGCGGTTTTCCTATTGTAAAACCTTTTCTCTTTATTTTTTATTTGCGCTCTTCTTTTGTGTGCTTCATTTTGTGAATCCTCTTTCAAGAACTGCATTATATTTTTTTCCTTCTGTTTTTTCTTCTGTCTTTATTAAGCTAGGTATGCTATCTGTTGCTTTAAAAACGCAGCTTGAAAAAAATGGTTCTCTTCCCAATCAGTCTTGGTGTTTTACACCACCAAATAATTCCAAGGATTATTTTATACATTTACAGGTGATTTAAAATCTGGTCACAGCTCTTTTGTTGTACACAAAGCCTCACTTGACTGCGGAGGAGGCAGAAGATCCAACCTTGACTTAAGCAATGTCTTTTGCAGAGACTTTAGAACAGAAGTTCATAAGTCTTATTTTTGCCCAGTAAGAGCCGTGGCAGCAGGAGGTCTAGGCTCAGCTGGGCACATACAAGTTTGGCTTGTGTGTGATTAGTAATAGCATATGTAACAGTTTAGAAACTCCACATTTAGAAGGTACATGTTGTGGCAAAGATTTCCATGTGATGAAAACATTGGTAGCTGCTGGAAGAGAGCAGGAAGGCATGGAGCAATGCCATCACTGGAGCCTTTCTTTGGGTTCATTGTGTTTGGTTCAGTCAGAGGAAGAAAACCAGTTAATGTCATGGCACAAGAATTCAGCCTGTTCCTTCTTTTGGACCCTATTGCCCTATTCTTACTCACATGGCATAATACTTGACTCTAGAATAGCCCCACTGGGGAGCCAAAGAACTATTTGGACATTAAATTGTTATCCTACTTGGATGAAAGTATCAGTCTAGCCCACGGGGTTTTATAGCTTCCTTCTCAGATCTAGTATGCTTTCCTGTTTGTCTTCATTCATACCAGGCTCAGTAGGTGACCTTTTCTGCAGCCAATTCTCACATCTGTTTCTAAGCAATTCAGTCCTTGTCAGACTAGTTTAGATATTAAGTGAAGAAACTGTCCACCATAGTAGGGGATAGAACTGCCCAGATGGAAAGTTGTCAATGACAGCAAAACCCAAAGTAAGCACCTGAATGAAAAGTGACCAAAAGTGATCAGGAATTTGGGCAAAAGAGGTATTGTGAGGAATGGGAGAAATGCTGTGAAGATACAGGAAACGCTCCCTCTCAGTGATCGTCTGGGGAGTGAGAACTATGCTCTCAGTTACTATGCATTCCTACAAGCCCTCCTAATTTTTTTTTGTTGTTGTTGCTCGTTGCACAGCTAATGAAGACTCCTAAAGGAGTGGTTCTCCATCTGTGTCTAAGCAGATGTTTGAAAACAACTGGCCAACCGAGGAGTTTCTGAAGCCCTGATGCTTTTGCAACACCAATACCTTTGTTCTTTAAACAAACAAAACATATTTTTGCGGTAACTTTGTATATCTTGCTGTGGCATTGCATGAATTTAAAAGACCGTGATAGTATAAGCCTCTGATAGTGTCTCATCCTCTGGTAATCATCCTTTGGTCAGCTTTAAGAGTTTGCTATTCAGCTTCCATGATGTGAAATTTCCTCTTTCTCTGTTTAGTGATGACTGTCCTTGATGACTCTTCTTCCTGTACTGTTAAGATATCTTTTCTAAGTGGAAGCTCGTGATGGAGAAAGGTGTCTATGGAGGCCCAGAGAGCGCATCATCTCCAGAAAGATACATACAAGTTCACTTTGCTGGTTTTCCTTGTCCACCACCATACTGAAAATTTCAAAGAAATCCAAGGGGTAAAGAAAGAGAAAAAAAGATATTTGGAAGGTGATTAACAGGAAGGAATCTATGACCCAGACTAAGAAAATGAAAAGAGTTTAAGGCGACTGTAGAGGTGGAAGGTGAATTAGATTACTACTAGGTGATGCTTTTTTGTTTTCTCTCTTTATTGGGGATATTACTCTCTATTGATTGCTTCTGCAATGGAGGAGTTAGGAAAAAGTTCTGATCTTTGTGTTCCTGCACCACTTCTGTCACAGTAAGAGCTAAGCAGATAGTTCAACATGAATCAGATTTAGTCTGCATGTTTGGTAAGGATGTCAAAAGAAAAAGATAAAAATAGGCAGAAAAATTAGAACTGCTTTCTCAACACAATGAAAACTGAAAAAGAAAAGGAAATAATATTTTATGCCATTTGAAATGTTTTCATTTGAAGTGTTTTGTCTTTAGACTTTTTTCTTTAGACCAGTATTTGAATGAAAGTATTAGCATGAAGCAAAAACTCATCTTTCACCTACATTTCATTTAAAATTAATGAAATATTTCTTTAAAAGTAAAAATTAGATGTTTTACTAAATCTAGTATTTTATCACTATTTTCTCTCAAAATCTATTTGCGAATTTCATCTGATATCTCCAAGAGTTTCTCCAAATAGTTATTTTTCAATATGTTTACTAGTTCTCAATTAAAACTAGATATGCCCAGTTTTCATCTTCAACTTTAATATAGCTCTGATTCTTGTTCTTGTTCTTTTGCAGTGGTACTTTTTCATAAGGCAACCTTCCTCTATATACAGGAATTCAATAAACTATTGATGAATAGGGTCATTAAAATGAATGGTTAAATTTCCTTTAACCTGCATTGTGAATCTGGGCCCTTAGGCTCATTGGAATAATTGCAATAGTCTAATCTTTCACATGTAGGTAGTCTCTTTCATCTGAGGATCTCAAGATGTTTTACCTAAAATAATGAATATACGTTGGAATTCTTGCCAAAGGCAAAAATGAAAGAGGAAAATGTACCCTCTCCCTTTTTCCTGCCATGTCAATGAAAATTTACTGGGGTTTTATTGTTATTTTATTGATTTTTTTTCATTGTAGAGTGTTGTTTTGTTTTTTTTTGAAACTAGAATACCACAGCCCTGTGAAATTCAAATTCTTCTTGTGGGAACTTGACCTTAAGTAGCAGGGCTGGCTTTCCTCATCTCATGGGTCAAAGCCAGTCCATGAAGAATGCCAGGATACCAACTGATTTCTGGAGCAGAAATGTAAAGTGAAACCTTAGTAGTCCTGTTCAGGTCAGTCTCAAAAGAATAATAGCAAAGGCAACACTTATTTTTAATTTTTTTTTAATTTGTTGCAAGAGTTGAGCAAAATCAGCTGAAGACTAAGGTGCCACTTCTGCTGCACAGAGGTAAAGCTGTTTCAGCCAGTAAAGCCTATTTACTTGACTGCACGTGCTCGTAGGCCCTTCAGTCAAAGCCATCTGAACCTATTCCCAGATAAAAGACCTTGCTTAATACTTGCATTTGAACCCGAACTGCTGGAGTTTCACCAATACTGCATCAATAATGTGTGGAGCTTTAATCAGAGAGAACATGCACGTCTTCAGCAATTGTGCTGTTTCAGAGTTCTGCATTTGTTTTCTTCATTATGTCCTTGTTAGAGAGTTTTGAATTCTCACAATTTAATTTGATTATCCCCGTATTATTGTTCTAAGAAACGACCACACAATCCCAATTCGTGGAACAACATGTCAGTCAAAGCTTAAATGCTATCAAATTTGAACTAACCTCTCTATACATTTCTTTACAGATTATGCTGACGTTTTCAGCAGTGTTTGGTGTGATCGTGTACCGAATCACAACAGCAGCAGCTTTGTCGTTCAGCACAAACGAGACAACCAGGTCAAATGTTCGAGTGACTGTGACCGCAACTGCTGTCATCATTAACCTCGTTGTGATACTTATACTTGATGAAATTTATGGAGCTGTTGCCAAGTGGCTGACAGAAATTGGTAAAACTATCTCACCACATTCCTCATTAGTACATTGCGTGTATTGACACGAGAGTATGCAAGGAGCTTCTAACAGGAATATTCCCCACTGCAGAGTGCCAGTGAAAATATTCAGGCCTATGGGGTGAGATGCTCAGACATGCCTCTATGAACTAGGGGTCTAAGCCACAACATGCAGTGTGCCACTAATAGGACTAATTAGCCTGGCCATAATGCCATGTTAACGCAGCTGTGCTATTTACAGGATCTCAGCTGGTATTTCTGCATTGCATTGGCTCTGCGCCAAGATCTACTTATCTGGAGATGGTTGAGAATTTTTGACCTGGTATGTATTTTGATATGTGTCTTTACCTCTAGGAGCTTGGTTTACTGAAAGTCATTGGGTTGTTTTGAAGATGTTGCTGGCTCTGGCAAAGCTACACTGGCAAATGTTTACCATGTTATTTTGCTGATGTGATTTTTACCAGGTCCTTAGCACTCAAAGGATGTTTTTGCCATCATAGGGGCATGTCTGGGCTGGACATTTTCATAATAATGTTCATTTCAGTTAAGAATTGGATTTTTTTTTAATTTTTTTTTTTAATGTTGTATTGTTACAAGCCTGGTAATGCATTTAAATCTTTTAAAGGCAAGTCATTCCTTTGACTACTGTAGAGGTTTAGGCTGGGGTTTTGTTTTGTTCCACACATTAGGCCAGCGATGTTTACTAATAGAGGTTTAGGCTGGGGTTTTGTTTTGTTACATAAATTAGGCCAAAGATGTTTACTGATAGGACCCTAACACGAGATTCTTACAGCTGTCATTAAGTATTGTTTCCCACATTTTTATACATCACCTCTAATTCTAAATGCTTCGAAGTCTAGGAACATAAAGACAGTTACTCAAAACACTGAAAATCAATTAGCAACCACAGATGCCTTTAACTGTGACAAGTGCTATAACTCAGTTTTGGGCATCTAGACTTAAACATCCAAATGAGAAACTTTTTGACAATTGGAGCCTGACTCGGTCATTTGAAACTGCGTATTCCCTCCCTGTAAAACCTGTGGTGATATCAAGCTCAGTAGAGCCAGCAGACTTCAGATTAAAACCTTAGGAACTCTTAAGACTTGCATTTCGTATTCTCGCTTTCTCGAGACACTTTCAAAGTCACAAGTGAAAACATCTCTTTTAGTCTTATTTTTTGAAGAACACGATGAAGTAAAGTTTTGTAGCTGTCATAATAGAGGTCCAATTCTGAATTTTTGAAATATGGTCCTGTGATTTAACCAGTAAGGACAGCCTGATAGTTTAGATTAAGTTCATAAATTACTTGAAAGAAACGAAGACAAAGCAATTAATTTTCACAAAATGCTACCATATGGGGTTAATTTGTTTGTTTATTTGTTTTGCATGAAGCTTTGGGCAGAATGTAGCAGGGTTACACAAATGAATTCTGTTCTAGTGGCATAAGGAATCTCAGGCTTACTGTCCAGGCCAAAATTGTACCCAGATTTTCAGCTTTCATACAACCGACGAGCTGCTAACTGTGTGTGACCTAATAAATTCAGTCCACTGCACCTGCCCCGGTAAGAAAGGGCACAACTGTTAAGGCATGACACTACTGTGTGGAAAGAGTAGGAAGAGGTGAAGGTGAGGCTTCTCCTCTCTGGCAGTTTCTAGGCAAAAGTTGGGAAGTGCAAGCCACTGCCATTGCCTCTTTAGGGGACACTCAGATGGAAAATCTCTCCTTTTGAAACTTGCACCACTCTGAATAGTGAAAGAAACAAGAATTTCTTACTTGCTGATTGTTGTCCCCTGTTACTTTGCATTTATTTATGATCCCACTATCTTTATTTAGGCAGCATTCCTAATTATCCATCAGATGTTTCGTTTAAGAAGGATCCAGTCTGAGTAATCTCTAGTGCTCCAAATTCCATAAGTTAGAAAGTTTATTCAGGCAGCTTTCTCCAGTGCTAGGCTCAGATGCCAAATGCAATCAAAATGTTTAAAAAAATTACAACGCATTCGTGCTTACGAATACTCCCTACCTTGCGAACTTTCACTTTGCTGAGCAGTGCAAAACATTCTCTTTCCACACTGCAGTTAATTGACAAACTGAGGAACTGACTTGTTGGGCTGGAGGAACAGCTCTTGACAGCACAGGTTTCTGTTCCAACCCCAAGTACACTTGTATCTTTGTTCAAGTGAAAATTACATCTGTAAGCATAAGAATAGTACCACCAATAGCAATTACATTCATCATAGGATCAAAGTGATGAATCTGCCTCAATGCCTGCTGAATTGGTGCTTAGAGGGGAAAAACGTAGTAGTTTCATTGTAATCAATATAAAGAGCTCATACAGGATGCACTAGGATTCCATGCACCTCTTGTGGACCCAGCAAAGCGGGGCACTGATGCCCCCTTATCACAGATCCGACCAGCAGAAGTGCAGATTACATCCTGGTATTCCCAGGTTGAATAGGTCATCTTCAGTAACCAGGTAGTGTCAGACTTGACTTACAGCCCATTTGCTCATTTGTAACTTCACTCAGGTCAAGGAAGAACCAGTCAAATGGGGACAAAATCATTACTACTTATGTTTATACCTTATAAAGGCAGCAACTCCTTCAGTGAGCTAAGGACCATGCCACAGATACCTCAGCTCATTCTTTACCTGGAAAGTTTCAGCTGCCCAAGTTTAGTGTAACATGCTGCACAATCAACCATATATTATAAGTGTATCATTTTTTGGGGGAAAGTTTTCTGTCTTACTAATGCATCTATTCTAGCTGGATGCATTTCTTGTGTAGCAGACTCCACTAGCTAGAGGACAAATTCTGTGCATGCCTCTATTGGTATGGTATAGTATATCTAAGCGTGGGGAGGGAGTGAAGCACTGAGTGAGTCTCTGGAACCATATATGGTGTGCAAATTTTCATCCAGAGGCTTAGCTCATCTTCGTGGGAGTTCTCTATAAGAAAAAGGTTAGGATTTTTTTCCCTCAAATTAAAAGCTGCACCACTGTTATTCGATATTCCTGTTGCCCTGAGCTGTAGCCCTGAGGATCCATCCAGCTTATGGGGTCATCTACAAATTGTTCAAATCCTTTGAAGGTTTAATTAAGCTTTTCTATATGTACAGGCGAACGATGGCTTAGGGCTCATCAGATTGTGTGTTGATCTTTTGTGAAAATATAGTTAGAAGTATCACAAATAAAGCTGGGCAGTGGAGACTCGTAAGTTTTGCTATTCCTTTAGTGCTCAAATAAATACCATGCTTCCTTTTTAAGAAAAAACCCAAGGCAACAAAACCACCTAAACTGTGCCCCAAAACAAAAATGTACAACAGTATTTTTAAGGAAGTCCTTGAATCCAGAGCTCTGGATCTACCTTATTATTTCACACTTTCATTGTGCTACAGAAATTCAGTCAAGAACATACCACAGTAAAATTATCTGCTCTCACAGTACTTAACAGCTCAGGATGAGCATGGCAATACAAGAGTTTAACCCATATAGAATATTTAAAAGATCTTACTGACAATTTTAAAAGCCTCTGTCTTACAGCTATGTGCTCTACTGCTAGGAAATTTCCATGGAAATTAGAAATATATCTGGGAATAGAGTAATGAATACTGAAAATATTTAAGACACATTTTTACAAGTTGTCTAAAGAAGTCTAGAAATCTAGAATATATATAGTGAATGGAGAAATGTTAGCAAAAATGTGCATTTATTTTGCATGGCAATTAACAATTCACTTAATACCTTATGCAGAAAGGTACTTAGTCTTGTGTTTAGCGTTAATCATATTAACAATCTTATAAAAAAAGGCTTATGCTCACAAAGTTAAAAAAAGCTTTTAAGGCATCTCTTCTAGATGAAAGTCTTTGTACTTTGCTTTCATCATTCGTGAATCGAGAATATGAATGCTTTTTTATTTCAGTTGTGTAACTGATATACTTATGTATGTTAATATACATATACTTATAAAACCAGGACAACATTAAAGCCGCTTCTACTGCTTCAGCTTTTTGCAATTGAGTATCATAGAATCATCATAGAATCATAGAATGGCATAGGCTGGAAGGGACTTTAGAGATTATCTAATCCAACCTCCCTGTCATGGGCAGGGACGCCTCTCAACTAGACCAGGCTACTCAAGGCTCCGTCCACCCTGGCCTTGAACCCCTCCAGGGAGGGGGCATCCACAACTTCTCTGGGCAATTTATTCCAAAGTCTTACCACCCTCGTATTGAAGAATTTCTTCCTAAAATCTAATCTAAATCTGTTCTCCTTCAACTTAAACCCATTTCCCCTTGTCCTATCAGTGGACACTCTTGTAAAAAGTCCCTCCCCAGCCTTCCTGTAGGTTCCCTTCAGGTATTGGAAGGCAGCTATTAGGTCCCCTCAAAGTCTTCTCTTTTCAAGTTCTCTTTTCAATCACAGCTCCCGCAACCTGTCCTCATAGCAGAGATGCTCCAGCCCCTGGATCATCTTTGCGGCCCTCCTCTGAACACGCTCCAACAGATCTATGTCTCTCTTATGGTGGGGACACCAGAACTGGACACAGTATTCGAGGTGGGGTCTCACCTTGAGCTGAAAGAAGAAATGGAGAGGTTAAAGGGGATCAGGGAATGTGAGGAATTAGGGGACAGGGGGCAATGGCACACGGTCCCTGCTCGGTGTGGCAAGCATAACTGCCTGGCAATTCCCCTGCCCCCCAGGTGTCCTTGCATAACAGGTACAGTGCTCTGCAAGGGGAATTGGATAACAGTGAGGATGATGGTTCTCCCTGCTTGGAGGTGTCACCAAAGCCTAGTCAGATTGCCATCAGCATTAAAACCTCATCAGTAAGGAATAAAATTTGAGTATCAAGGTTTAATTTATTTTTTTTCAAACTCCAGATATAGCTAGTAGAGAATAATGTAAATAAATAATTTTTAATATCTATCTGTTATTAATAATAATAACATAGAATCACATAATGGTTTATGTTGGAAGAGACCTTAAAGATCATCTGGTTCAAAACCCCTGCCATGGGCAGGAATACCTGCCACTATATCAGGTTGCTCAAAGCCTCCTCCAACCTGGCCAGAACAACTTCTCTGGACAACCTGTTCCAGTGTTCCACCACCCTCAGAGTGAAGAATTTCTTCCTTATATCTAATCTAAATCTACCCTCTTTCAGTTTAAAGCCATTATCCCTTGTCCTATCACTACATGCCCTTGTAAAAAGTCCCTCTCCAGCTTTCCTGTAGGCCCCCTTCAGGTACTGGAAGGCTGCTAGAAGGTGTCCCTGGACCCTTCTCTTTTCCAGGCTGAAAAGCCCCAACTCTCAGCCTGTCTTCACAGGACAGGTTCTGTAGGAGAGTATGCTAGTACTGAAATGGAGTATTGAAACTGAAAGTACTAAAATGGAGTATTGACCCTAATATACACATTATGTTAATAAAACCTATGTAATGATATTATGTATTTAATGACATAATAGACGTCAGAGTAAATGGCAGCGGAGGTCTGTGCTAAGATTTCACAGATGTGGCCTGAAGCAGGGGAAGGTGATGTGGTCTGCCCAGGTCTCTCAGCAAGGCAATGAAAGAGACTGGAAAAATGAGCTATTGTCAGGTCCAGGCCAGGTGTCAGGATCTATTTGGGTTTTTTTGCCACCAGGCTATTGGATAGACGGCGAAGAGCAACTTGGGATATGCTGTCAGAGGCCTATCAGAGAATCAAGTTCATTATGTTATCATTATTAATATTTATATCAAAGAATTTTCAATTTCCATTGCGAAATTTGAAAAGACTTTCTGGAAATCAGGAGTCAGTGACAGAGCTAGTGTGCATTGGTGAAATGTAAAACTATAAAAGAAAAAACAGTATAAGCTCAAAGTTTGCAGTTTGGTTTTGTTTTAGGGATATTAGGGATCTTTACATATTTGCTAATTGATTTATCTGTTTTGCTTCCCCCACCCCCACCCCCTAGAGGTACCAAAAACAGAGAAAACCTTTGAGGAGAGACTGATTTTGAAGGCATTCCTACTGAAGTTTGTGAACTCTTATGCACCAATTTTTTATGTTGCCTTTTTTAAAGGAAGGTAAGATATATGTCCTTTACATATAGATACTTACTGTATATATATGTGTTAATATTAGTAGATCTGTGTTTAAAAATGAGCACAAAGGGCCACCTAAGTAAGTCTGGGACTGGCCACCTTCACCAGCTATGAAAAACATATTACAAACAGGATTGTCTAAAGCCTGCTTTTGAATGGCAGGGCATGATGTTGAGTACTGTCCTGTCTCCCTTCTAAATAGAGCATTGTTCTGAAATGTAACCATTTTAGTTTTCTTTCCAAAATAAGAATAATCCACACCTCAGAAGATAATTTCTTTTAGTTAAAAGTTATGAGTCAATGGTCTTCACTTTCCACATTTTAGTCATTTTTCCTTGAAGCATTATTTAGCAAATAAAGTTTTTCCTGTTTCGTTTAAAATTATGGAACTACTTTCTGTATTACTTTCTCAACATTTTGCACTATTTGCCCATCTCAAGTTAAATTAAGAAATAGTTACAGTCAACTGGAAATTGCATGTTTTGGCAAATGAACTGATTGACCAAAAAGCTAATTCAGCTGTCCTGCTAAATAAGTGTGACTTCCTATGGGTTCAGGGTTACTGTCTTTTGGGACCCAGTTATCCGCAGTATAACATATGCTTTTGAATGGGAAGCTTAAAATGATTGTTTGCTCAAACCTTGGAAAAAATGTTTAACACATCCTCTGGATTCTGTTTCATACCATTTTTCTGTTCCTTTTGAGGGCTGTAAAGTTTGTTAATCTATACTCTTCACTAATCCTGTTCAGCATCATTGATTTAAGAATTAATGATACATTTTACCAGCAGTTGTAAATAGTGTAAGACATTAGTGAAAAAATCACCGATTTTTTTTAACCATTTTTTTGTGTGTGTTACATGGTTATAATAAAGTTGGTCTCACTATTTCTCCCCACCTAGTCAGAAGAACCTTGACAGAATAGAGTAAATAACTCTATTCAGGTCATTACTCAGATGCAAGAGAATGTGAGTTAGAATATGTGTTCGCAGTTTCGTTTGTGATCTCTAAGCAAAAGAAGCAGATAATTATTACTTTTTAGTACAGAAAAATGTTTTATTAAAATTATTTCATCAGAACGTAATAGAAAAACATTTTAGATGCCTACTACTTTGAAATAATTTCCCATGATCAAAGTTGAATAGGTGTTGAATTTTTTAAAAGTCATGTTCAAGTAGCTAGTTCTGAAATATTTTAGATAATATGAATGGACAATTATGGTATTAAAGTAAACATTTTTCCTGTTTTTATGTTATTTCATATATTGTTATTGCTTTCAGATTTGTTGGCCGTCCTGGTCATTATGTCTATGTGTTTGATGGCTATCGAATGGAAGAGGTAAGTACATATGAAATTCAAAGAAAAAAATCCTTAACAAAAAAAGATATATGTACAGTATATTTCAGTGTAGTCTAGGCAATAAGGCAAAAATAGAAAACATGTTAAAACAAGATGTTAAATCTTCAATGTAAATAGACAAACCCTGAATTTTCCACCTGAGGTGCCTGTATGTTCTTTCTTTCCGCAGTTTTGAGTACCTCATGGTCTTTCTTAGGTGAAGTTTCACCATTTCTATGCTTTACAACTGGGCACTAAGGCACAAACATTACATGATTTGACTGAGACCCTTCAGAAACCTACGGCAGAACCAGAAGTTGAATCTGACTTCTTATTCTGTAGATCACTAGAAGCCTAGCAATTTTAGTAGCCTAAAAGCTATAGTCGTGTTTTGCTAAACCTGTAAACTTTTTTTTTTTTTTTCAAAATTCCTTTAACTGCTGTGGATATTCCCTTGCAAATCAACAGATGTACTCAAAGTTTTACAATAAAGCTTACACATAAGCCTTTGTAAGATTGAAGACTTTCTTCCCCCTTGGGAGACATCAGATTGGAAGAGTATTGGTGATACTGCATTATGTTTATTACATTGATTATATAGTAAATATTTTAAAAGGGAATATAGTAGCCCCAGGGCACGGTAAGTTATTTCAGATCCATAATGCAGTTTTATGAGTGGCGATGAAATACCTAGTTAAGCATAGAATTGCAATGATCGACGAGCTCTGTGCTCCTTCGCAAATTGGTGGCAGGGGTGATGGGCACATATAGACATTGGTAGCTCTCCCAAGTGGGTACTTTCAAATTAATTCTCTTACTCCCTTCACACTCTACGGTTTTGTTTAATTACAGTGTGCTCCAGGAGGCTGTTTGATGGAACTCTGTATTCAGCTGAGCATCATTATGCTTGGAAAGCAACTGATTCAAAACAATCTGTTTGAAATTGGAATCCCGTATGTATCCCTGCCTTCTCTATTACCATACGTTGTTCCTACGACACAGTAAATTAAAGGCTTGATTCTTATTCAACTGAAAGAGACTTTTGCCACTGCATTCAGTGGGTTCTAATTGAACGTGATGATAAATCACATTTTGGGTTGTGATGAAATGATCTGGCTGTATTTTATGTTGAATAATTGGCTATATCTTCAGTAAATGGCTTAAAGACAGTGATTGAATACATTAAATAATTGATCTAAATTAATTTTAGAAACCTGGGAAAACAGGCAAGGTATGATAGATCTCTTGGGAAGTTTTAGAGAAGCTTTCAGGGTAGCAGTATTGAATACAAATTAGTATAAAGTGGAGGAGAGATGGCATGGAGAAAAGCAATAGCTCATAAAAGATGTTAAAATGTATTACTTGATCTATGACTATTTTACGGGTTTACAGACGAAGTCCACACATTTTTAAGGTGCCTGTATAACAGTATGATGCAGGAGCTAGAGTATGGGAGAGAGGCTGACACGCTGCTCAGTGGCTGTCTGCCACAGGATGCTTAGTGCACAACGTCCTCTGCTCCAAATACAGCAAATCTCTCTTGGTCTGTCTCCAGCGCCAAGGGGATCTTCAGGCACTGAGAATCCACTGAAAATGTCCTGCTCCTGCCTCTCGGGATGTTTACTCTTGTTTCTGTTAGCTGAATGATCCTTGTTGGTGGCAGTGATCTGTGAAATGTTGTATTAGCTGAAGAGTCTGGCTTAGATGCAAGCTAAGTTAGTCAGAATCTTTCAGCTCTGGTGTCAGTAGCATTTGGATCACATCCCTAAGGAAGGCCTTGAAGAAGCTAACTAGAAACCAAGATGAGTGATGCTTAAAGATTATGAAATATTTTTTAAATGAGCACTTTTCCTCCCTTTTCCTAGCAAGAACTTTTTTTGGAAGTAATTTAAATAGAAAAAAATTTTTTTCCAAACATATCAAATGTGGGTTATGGATGGTTGCATTATTCTTGTGTCAAAGTTCAACAGGGAGGCCTGTTTTCTGTCTACATCTCATTGAGTTTACAGTTTATTTTGAAAAAAGAGTGGTAAATCATTCCCAAAATATCTGACATGTTGAAGGCTTAAAGCTTTGTCAGTGTAAACCCGGTGTGATTTTTTTCCCATCTTCCAAAAAACTTACTGCTACTGGACTTTTTTAATGGGGATTTTATGACGTTAGAAATACAGTATTTATTATTTTTGACTCATGAAAGCAGAGACTGATCCAGTCCAAACAGAAAATTCCTGTTAAATTATTGCTCAATTCTCTCACTACAACTCTTGGTGCAAGAATGTGACAATTTCATCCCATTTTTCTCCCTCATTTCTTCCCCCTCACCCTTCTGCCAACAGCCTACGGTGGCCTCAATTTTTAAAACTGAGTAACTCTTGAAAACCAAACATACTTTCATCTTCTCCTTCCCAGAGAAATACTTCATTTCAGTATTCACAATGCTATCTTGTCATCCTGAAATAAGCACATCTGGTTTTCCTTTGCTTGTCTGCGTTCTCAAGAAAATCATGTGTATATCTGTAGGGCTCGGCCCTTCTCACCAGCCCTGTTAGCACCAGGAGAAGCATAGTGCTTTACTGAACACTTAAGTTAATTAAATCAGAGTTAGCCTTCTATTTCTTCCTGGACCATTCTACTGGTTTGGACTAGAACCTTAACAGTACTCTAATCTACCTCATCCACCCCGCAAACACAGGCACACAGACACACTTTGAGAGCCTATCCATCCAATTTTCAGAGGACTGGACACATATAAATCCAGACCAAAAGGGACTCCAAACATGCACGTGTTGCACAAGCAGTAGTTCTGGAATGTCTATGTGTCACATGTAATCTACATGTCCATACATGTCGTTATTAGGAGATGTGACAGATGTATAAACAAACATACCCTCACTCTCTGCCTTCCAGCCTTCTCATCTCACTTCCTACTGTATCCTATTCTCTCTGTTCTTCTACCTGTTTTCCTTGGTAATCTCTTACAGTCAGCTCATCTCCTCTGTTAGGTCATCCTTTTTCTACCAGTAAGTTTTTGATTGTCCTTCCCGTTCTTCCCAGGATATCTCTGTCTTCATCGGGTCCTTGTTCTGTTTTCTGGTGTCTACTTTTGCACAGACTGTGCACTGTGATGAACAGTTCTCCTGTGGCAGAAAGACAGATCAATCTTTTCTATCTCCAGTTTCAGCAGCTGCATTTTTTTTTTTTCCCCTTACCTTGTGCCTCTTTGGAGGGGATGAGAGGCAAAATGAATAACATAGATTCTTCTGTTGGCTCCCTGTGTTTTAACTGAGGGCAGAGTACAAGTGCTGCAATCAGCCTTACCCATGTGGAGAGGCAGAAGGGACTGTGATAAATGGTGACTTGTTCCTCAGAATCTGGAACTGTCCTCTATACGTCTGTAACATGGAAGTGTCTCTCTGCTAAGTTATATGATGACCCAGGTCAAGAGTTTTCTTCCTTATTAAAATCCTGCGATTTCAGGATTATTTGCAGAAAATCTTTTGATTTCATTCACCATAAAACCCAAAGCATTTTAATTATTTTGCAGAACGTCACAAAGCCTTACTCTCGTTTGCTATCT